TAATTACTGCTAATTGACTATAATTAAGCGCACACGTGCATTTCCAGGAATTCCATGACTTTTTTTTTTGAAGGAAACAAAGGCGTCTAATCTCCTTAATTACCTTTGCGGTACTATTTTTCACCAAACAATTGTCAAAAAAAAAAATTATGCTTAAAATTAAGGGTGGCCCGGTTTTTTTTTTTTTTTTTTTTTTTAATACTATTACGTTATGATAATATGTATACAAATTTTAGATAAAAAGTTAACCGCTTATACTAGAATTATTATGTACCACGAAATAACCATATAATGCTCGTGTAGCCATTGTATGGCCTGAGTAGGACTCGAACCCGCGGTATTCTGCAATAAGGATATCTTATGTCATACAGCCTGTAAGAGGCAGTGGTAGCCCAGTGGTAATGCGCTCGCTTGGGTAACCGAGTGAAGCGGGTTCAAATCCCGGGTCTCGCGCCTTTGATATTTTCATGTGCAAATCAATTTTCAACATGGTTAACACTTGCCTTACGGTGAATCAAACATCGTGAGGAAACCTGCATGTCTGATTAAACCTGGCAAGTTTTCGAAAGACACGTGAAGTCCGCCAACCCGCACTTGGCCGGCGTGGTGGACTATGGCCTGATCACCCTCGTATTGAAGTGATGCCTGTGGCCAGCAGTAGGATGTCAAAAAAGGGCTGAATACATACATACATACAGGCAGTCTTTCGTCTTTCATCTTGCTATTACAATTTTTAAGCGTATTGTAATTTGGTTTGTTCTTAGTAAAATAATTGGCCTTCTTAATTTTTTTAGAACTCTACAATAATTATTATCCATTAAATAGGTACAAGAATAACATAGTCATGTAAAAATAATTTTACATTCATAGAAGTTCCATTGTGACATCTGTTGGATAATATGATAACTACAATGTTCATTTACTTTCATTTTGTAACACTCATTTTATCGCGAGTCTCTGCAACATTAATTGCGCCTTAGTTTTGATTTAGTTTAATCAGTTACATCTAGATGGCACGACTGCAAGAAAATAGTGAAAAGAACATGCGTAGTGTAAGATTAATATACATTTAGTTATACTTCCTTTAAGTAATTATTATTTCCTGTTATTGTAATAAGTTTGGTGTATTTAATACTTGAGTAAAATATATTCATCAATCCAAATAGGTCTAATAATAGTAGTAGTGGTCGCTAGTGTACCCATATGATGGTAAAAGTTGTCTTTGAATTGATCTTATTAAAGTTAGTTTTACCTGTGCTATGGAATTAATACATTAATTATTGTACAGTATCCCTACGTGGGTGTAATGGTTAACCGTCAATGAAAAGTCTTTGTGTTTTAATAAAAAAAATCCTTTTCATCCAATCGTGATAGAAGGGACTTATGCCCGATTTTACCAACGTCACCTAAGTTTAAGGGATCCCTAAGTATGGTAAGGGGACTGTTAGGGGACAGTTTCTGTTTCACCGACAGTTAGGGGTCACCTAAATGTTAAAAGGTCCCCTAAATTTAGGTGCTCGAAATATGGGCTCAAAGACGATGGTAAAACGAAATTTAATTTAGGGGCTAGTTTAGGGGAATTTTAAGCTAGCGATCCCATACGTAGGTGGTAGTTTATGGGTTGTTGGTGAAATCGGGCATTAGTGTCCTGTAACCCAGCCGTGAATTGAAGAAACGCATTTGGAAGGCGGACCACCTCGGTTGGCCTCGGGAGTTGAAACATGCTACATGCAGTTCCTCTAGGTGTTTCTTTGATTCCCCCCCAACGTGCGTTCACCTTGTCGTGGTGGGGGGGCTCAGTAGTGCCCGGCAACCCAACCGGGCGCGAAGCTAAGAAACGCACAGGGAGGTTGCCCACTTCGGTGGGCGGTGGGAGGTGGCCCTCTTCGGGGGGCGGTGTACCTTGCGGGTTGCTCCTGGTACTTCTCTGATAGCAGAGTGGACCTTGGAGCAACCCCATGGTTGTTGTGGTCTGCTTCGGCAGACCTGCCGTCGGGGCGTCGTAGTTGAATGCGTAAGCGATCCTGCGACGCCCCATTAAGACGGGGGAAGGTTTTGTTGGGTTTTAGTGGGTAGTACTGGCTGTATTACGCCGGTGAGTCCCACACGTCGTGCGTAAATGCATTTCCCAACGTTAAAAAAAAAAGAAAAAAAAGGTGTTTCTTTGATTAGCCGTTCGGTTTTCACATAACCAACTGTATGTATGCATGCAAATGTTATGCGTTAATAATTTCCCAACGTTAAAAAAGGGGGTTTTGACTTTACTTATTGGAATAGAGTCGCTGTTTCACGCTCTGTTTTGAATTTTAGTTATTATTTTAATATAAATTGTTAATTAGGTAAGTAATGACTAAACACGTTTTGTGGTGAAAAACAAAAATATTTTAAGTACGTTGAGTAAAATATTATAAATAACCAGTTTTTAATAAAGTATTATCTACTACTAATAAATGTGTCGCAGTTTCAAACAAAGAGAGACACTGTTAATGATATTATGTTGGACTTTTAAATAAAATTTATACCTTTTGAAAAAAAATAGAAGTAGCTTAATGATAAAATACTTAGGAGGAAAGGAAATTCCCTTACAGACAAAATTTTAACAGTAAAATTTTTAAACACTATAATTTCCCGGAGCTTATTTCATCTATTCTTTACAACTTTATTATAGTCATTGATCGTTGTTTGTTGTACGCACACCAACGGGTCTAAAGTAGATAATAGATTGATAGATAATAATAAATGAATAATAATGCCCTCCTGATCGATTTCGGCCACGGCGGCCTATGTCACTGAGATTAGCTACGAGTATCTCGCAGGTGATATCATTGTGCACAAGTGTGCGCGCAAACATAAGTGCACTCTCTAATCTTTTTACTCTTGATTTGATTTGATCTTTTTACTCTTGGGTTGATCTTACAGGGTGATAGGGTGATATTTTGGCACGACCGATGAGAGAAAATTTCTTAACAGAAAAACACAATGATTAAACTTCGCCCCATACGGGACTCGAACCTAAGACCTCTAGACCTACAGTCGTGTATGCTACTGACTAGATTACCGAGGCACTAAGGCACATCATTGTAGAGCGCAGATGAAACGGTTTTTTTAGTCTGTAAGTTAAAGCTATAAGCTATGACGTGCTTGATGTAAATAAAAGAATTATATGTTAAAACTAGCATTGCCCGCGGCTCCGCCCGCGTTCAGATGACCAAAAACCAAATTCTTAGGTTTTACATATTAGTATACTCTTACAATGCAGTTTTTTATTTTTTCTCAGAAATGAGACATTTTCCCGCGGTAAAAAGTATCCTATATGTTGACCCGGATAACCAGCTATCACCATACCAAATTTCATCAAAATCTGTCCAGTGGTTTTCTCGTGATGCGGTAACAGACAGACAGACAGAAAGACAGATAGACGAAATTCTAAAAAATTTAGATTCGGACTCCGTGTCGATAATAACGTCTATTTCAATTAGATTTTCCAAAAAATATTTAATGTACAGATTCGACTTTGTTACAATTTTATTATATGTATAGATTATAAATGCATATTACAATACAGAAAAAGTGAGAAATTCAAAGATTTGTATTGTACGCTTACATTGCCTTTTTTTTTTAACGTTGGGAAATGCATTTACGCACGAGGTGTGGGACTCACTGGCAAAGCCAGTACTACCCACTAAAACCCAACAAAGCCTTCCCCCGTCTTAATGGGGCGTCGCAGGATCGCTTACGCATTCAACTACGACGCCCCGACGGCAGGTCTGCCGAAGCAGACCACAACAACCACGGGGTTGCTCCAAGGTCCACTCTGCTATCAGAGAAGTACCAGGAGCAACTCGCATGGTACACCGCCCTCCGAAGAGGGCTACCTCCCACCGCCCACCGAAGTGGGCCACCTCCCTGTGCGTTTCTTGGCTTCGCGCCCGGTTGGGTTGCCGGGCACTACTGAGCCCCCCCACCATGACAAGGTGAACGCACGTTGGGGGGGGGACGCTTACATTACCTACAAAAGGACGAGCGAAGCGAGGGTGAGTCCTAGTATTTAAAGAAAATGTATAATAGGAAATCATGGGAATAGCTTATTACAAATTTCAAGGATATTTAGGTATACATGTACTATAAAATTACAAGACCGGTAATCGAACAAATATTTAAACAAGAAATAATATCCATTAAAAAGATATACGAGTATTAATTCGATGACATTTTATTTTTCTATTTTTTACGGAAATGATTGTACACAATTTATATATAATTAATATCCTCAATGGGTTTAGATCTTATTTGATTAAAATGTCATCCGCTATTTAATTATGTTTTAACCGATGTTATAAAAAGAGAAAATAGACTAAATAATATAAACGTTTTAACGTTTAGTATAGATTTCTCAGGGATTAGATATTTTCCCGCAGTAAAAATTTTCCTAAATGTTCACCCGGATAACCAGCTATCATCATACCAAATTTCATCAAAATCTGTCCAGTGGTTTTCTTGTGATGCGTTCCCAGACAGACAGACAGACAGACAAGAATTCTAAAAACTGTAGATTCGGCCTCTATATCGATAATAATGACTATTTCAATAAGATTTTCCAAAAAATATTTATTGTTCAGATTCAACGCTGTTAAATATGCTGTAGGTACCTATTATGTAAGGGTACTTTGGTGAGCTTCATTTAAATAAAAATTCATTGTGTAAAATCTGCATTATTATTCCAAAAAGTCCTAATAGGTTATGGGCCCAGTCTGTAACCGTATTTAGGTGAAGATATTCTTGGAATTGTACGGCAGGAGCGCTCGTTTGTTTTGTCACTGTAAGGAGCGAGGAATTGGAGTGTCTGGCGATTCCAGATGACCGTGATTTTGCGGGATCAAGGATTGTACAAAATTGTCTCGAGTCCTAATGTCAAACATGGCGGTGCGGCGGAAACTACAAAGACCGGTTAGGCGTCGGCGGAGCCCGAGCAGGCGTCGGTAGAGAAGGATATAAAGGCGATGAGTGCAATTGTGACAAGATTGGCGGAACCAGTTCTACATCACGTAATTACTTGTCAAACAGCGCACGAAGTGTGGAGTCGGCTACACAGTATTTATGAAAAAAGTGGAGAAACTTCACTGATGCTACAACAACAACGATTCGTTGCCCTAAAATTTGAAGATGACATGAGTGTCGCGGACTTCATCTCCAAAGTGCAGGAGCAGCAGCAGACCTTGAAACGACTGGGAGAAGCGGTAACCGACAGGATGGCTATGTCGAAGATCATCATGTCACTTCCACTGAAGTATGCTCACTTTGTTAGTGCTTGGGAATCGTGTGCACAAGAAAAACAGACTATGGACAACTTAACGGCACGGCTTTTGGTAGAAGAAGAACGGCTTAATAATAAGTGTAGTAGTAAGGCAGAAGAAAGTGTAGCATTGTTTTCTAAAGGTCAAAAAGGTACAAATAAAGGTAATTTTAAATGTTTTTTATGTCACAAGCCAGGTCATTTAAAGAAAGATTGCAAGCTTAAAAATGTTTGTTTTAAATGTAACAAGCCAGGTCATTTTAAGGATAAATGTAAAGCTAGTAAAAATGATAAGAAAGATAAAAAAAATAGTGACACAGGTAATAAGAAAACTGAAAGTGCTTTTGTATCTACAGTGCTAGTTAGTGCAAGTGATCGATCAATAGATGAAAAATGGTTAGTAGACAGCGGTGCTAGTCACCATATGACATATCAGAAGGAATTATTTTGTGAATATGAAAAATTATCTACTCCTAAAGTTGTTATTATAGGCGATGGACGAAAGCTAAATGCTTTAGGTATAGGAAAAGTAAATATAATGGCATTTGATGGTGAAGAATATGTCTGTTGCTCAATAAACAATGTTTTGCATGTTCCTAAATTAAAAATTAATCTATTTTCTCATGTTAGTATGACAAATGACAAGTGTGTATTTTCAAAGAGTGTGTGCTATTGCTAATAAGGAATCATGTTCTAAGCTGTATGTAATGGATTAAGTGAGTGGCATGAGAGGTTAGTACATCAGAATTATAAGGAAATTAAACGCATTTTAAAGAAAAATAATATTGATTATAGTGAATCACCAATAGACACATGTACAGCTTGTGTAAAAGGTAAACAGCATAGATTACCATTTGATAGCAGTAGAAGTACAACAAGTAAGACAGGCGAGTTGGTGCATGCTGATTTGTGTGGACCGATGGAAGAAAAGTCAATAGGAGGGTCAAGGTATTTTCTTATTAAAGGATGATTTCTCAAACTATAGGACAATTATGAAGGCAAAAACATTAAATAATACAGTTTGTACACTTCGCACTGATAATGGGACTGAATTTGTGAATGCAGAAATGAAAACTTTATTAGCAGAGCATGGAGTGACACATGAGACTACAGTAACTTATTGTCCAGAGCAAAATGGAAAAGCTGAAAGGGATATGAGGACTTTAGTTGAAGGAGCAAGAACTTTGTTGCATGCAAAAAGAATGGACAAAGTATTCTGGGCTGAAGCTATTAACACAGTTGTGTACACTCTGAATAGAACTTACCATAGCAAAGAAGAAGGAAAAACACCTTATGAGTCATGGTCAGGGAAGAAGTTTGATGTAAATGGTCTATATATATTTGGCAGTGAAGTCTTTGTGTACATACCGAAAGAAAAAAGAAGGAAATTCGATGCAAAAGGAGAAAAAGGTATTTTTGTAGGTTACGGAGAATACACTAAAGGGTTTAGGATCTATTTTCCAGAGAAAAATGCAGTGGAAATAGTGAGAGATGTTACGTTTGTGAAGAAACATAATAAACCTGAAAGAGAAGAGCAGGAAGAAAAGTGTATATATTTAGATATAGAAGAAAACCTGAACAATGAAGAATACCAGTCTGAGTCGGATACTGAAGGAAGTGTAGAATTCGAGGATTGTCAGGTCAATGACAATATGATGCAAGAAGTGGAATTTCTAGAAGAGGAAATTTTAGAGCATGAAGAAATTCAAGAAGTAAATGAAAGTATGCCAGTAAATTTAGAAAATACTAGAAGAACACGCTCTAGAAAAGCACCTAACTGGTTTCATGACTATGAAGTTGGTTTTATAAGCGTGCATAATGAACCTAGTACTTTAAAAGAAGCCATGGAATGCGAAGACAAAGAAAATTGGATAGAAGCTATGAACAGAGAAATAACTACATTGAAAGAAAACAATACATGGACTGAAGTAGCGATGCTGCCCAAGGGGATAAAGGCAATAAACAGTAAATGGGTGTTCAGAATAAAAGAAAATCCTAGCCAAGAAATTCAATACAAGGCCCGATTAGTTGCTAGGGGATTTGAGCAGACTGATATGGATGGTGCAGAAGTTTATGCCCCCGTTGCGAGTTTGACTACTTTCCGTACAATGTTAGCTGTGGCAGCCAGAAAGAAACTTCCAGTATACCAAATGGATGTAACAGGAGCCTTTCTTTATGGTGACATTGATGAACCTGTATACATGAAACTACCTAATGGAGAAATAGGTAAATTAAATAAGTCAATATATGGATTGAAGAAAAGTCCCAAGTACTGGAATAGAAAGTTTAATGATTTTATGTGTAGTGATGGTTTCATAAAATCTAAGAACGACCCATGTTTATATTTTAAATGTTGTAAGGAGTATTCCATTTATGTGCTAATTTTTGTCGATGATTTGCTATATTTTAGTGATAGTGACACACAGATCAGAAAGTTTAAGGAGAAGTTGTGTAAGAACTTTGCTATGAAAGATTTAGGTATGGCTTGTAATTATTTAGGAATTAGCATTGAACAGGATATAGAAAATGGAAAGACTGTTATAAATCAGAAAGAGTATTTGTTAAAAGTATTAAGAAAGTATGGGATGTCTGATTGTAAAGCTTGTAACATACCCATTGATCAGAATTTTAAGTTTGAATTGTTAAGAAGGGAAAATTCAGAAAGTAAAGAAATCGAATTTAAATGTAGGCAGATAATTGGAAATTTACTGTATGCTTCTAATGCTACAAGGCCTGATTTGTGTGTAGCGATTGGTTTCTTAAGTAGATATCAGCATTGTGCCAGTATGTTGCTATTGAAATGTTTACAGCGTGTTTTGAGATATGTGAAAGGTACAGTAGATTTGTCATTGATGTATGATTGTAATGGTAATGATAAATTGGAGGGTTATGTTGATGCTGATTGGGGTGGAGACATAACAGATAGGAAATCTACTTCAGGATATATATTTAAAGTATTTGATTGTGTAATATCTTGGTGTACTAAAAAGCAATTATGTGTATCTTTATCATCAACCGAGGCAGAATATGTAGCACTATGTTTAGGTATTGTTGAGTCATGTTGGTTAAAAAGCTTGTTATTAGATTTTGGATTTAAATTAAAAGTAAATATTTATGAGGATAATCAGAGTGTAATAAAAATAGCAGAAAACAACTTCAGTAATAAGAGGCTTAAGCATATTGATGTTAAATATCATTTATCATAGAAAAAATAAATGATGGTTGTGTAAGTCTATCCTATGTTAGTAGTAGTGATAATCTTGGTGATGTGTTTACTAAGACTTTAGGAAGACAATTGTATGTAAAACTTAGAAGTAAGATTTTAAAATAAGTTTTCCATCTAGAGGTGATTTTATTTTGTGTTGTGTCAGAATTGTTTTGTTTTTAATACTGAATTTGTTAAGTGGATGTTTGTATTTTATTTTGTAAAGGCCAGTGTGTCATTGTGTTATTAAGGGGTAGTTTTTCTTCTTAATGTTGTTAAGGGCTAGACATGTAGTGATATATTAGTTTATGTAAGTTTTTAATCAAAAGTTAAGTGTTGAGGGGGTGTGTTAAATATGCTGTAGGTACCTATTATGTAAGGCAACACTTATTTTGATTTGTAACACTGGCAACTCTGTTCTTGACAATATGTAATGGTGGACGCCGTGTATTTGTACTTTGGTGAGCTTCATTTAAATAAAAATTCATTGTGTAAAATCTGCATTATTATTCCAAAAAGTCCTAATAAACGCGGTTTGAATTTCATTATAGATAGAGTACCAAACAACACCTAAATCAGCAGAAACAAATAATAAAAAGGTTGCTAAAATTTTAGGTTTTTTAAGTAAATATTTGAATTAGGTGACAAAAAAAATTAAATAGAGTTTTATGCTCCGGTATTAATATCTTTTCATCTCATAGAATCTTATAGAAGAAGCCAAATAATATGTTGCACTGAAAGAGAAGCTTCCAATATGTAACAGTTTAATGCAATATTACATTGGCCAGATACGAGACGTAAATACAGAAAATGGTTGAAGCAGAATGGATTCTTAAAATCGGTTAAATCGGAATATGCTACTAGGTATTAAGCTCGATAGAAAATTCTCATAAAATAAAAGGTATGAAGTATCATAAAATGGATACATCAAAAGATGACATTTCATTAGATTGGCCAAAAAATCATTTCATTGTATACTCTTGATATTACTCATAGAATAACTTTACAGACTCTTCTTGATTTTATCCCATTTTTTATTGATGTAGAGATTTCGTTCAGTGCCACTTTTGTAATTAAATTTCTATTAAATTAATTATTGAGAAAAACTCGATAAAGTTATAGAAAAATGTATATTTCTCATACAATAAATGTGGTAAGCTCAATTAAATAGCAATGAATGAAATATTTGATATTTTTTTAAAATTCAACACTCTTATTTTTCCCTATTTCTAGTAAAATACTTCACTACCATATAACGTGCTGCTATCTGACAGATCTCAATTGAGTATATCAAATTAGCGATTCATTTGTTAAAAAAAAATACAAACGGATACATTTAAATTATTAATATATATAGCTTAAAGTATGTACTAGTGACATTTAAAGTTACAGAATTAGGCGTCACCATACAAGGACATCATAATATTTATGACTCCTGTACGCCCAGTGATGACTGATCTAGTTTAAATTTATGCAAAGATTACGAACACTTATATAAATAGAGACGAGTGGTTTGAATGAGCATCAGTTGACCGTGACGGTTCAAAGTGATCTTCGTGTAAAAAATTCAGCACAGACCTCGTTGACAATGAATACGTTGGTGGTGTTGAGTGTGATTTTTGCCGTTTCCGTAGCAGCTCCATATAATAAAAATGGACAAGCAGAAGAGAAGCCTTTAGATGACCGTGTATTAGACAAAAGGTCTATCGGCCATATTGTCTATTCCAATACTGGTACTGGTCTTGTGGAAACTTACTTAGAGCCACATTTTAGCTACGCTGTCCCTGCTGCCGCGTACGTAGTTCCTTCGGCTGTTTCGCACCAATCTCGAGTGGACGTACACTCTTCACCGGCTATAGTTTCCACCAAGACTAAGCCTGAAAGTGTTTTAGTAGCGACCGTTCCATCTGCATATGTGCCTACTGTATACTCTGGAGCTTCAGCTGTATCCCATCAATCTCGGGTGGATATTAAGAGTTCACCTGCCATTGTTACTGAGCAAGTACTTCAACCAACATATTTTGCAACTTCACACTTAGTCCAGGCGCCTGCTGTATTCGAAGAAGCACCAACTGTTGTTGATGCTCGTTCTCTGTACGGCGCCCCTGTTGCCACTGTCTACTCTAGTGGTATTTGGTAAATTGGACTTAACAAAATTACTTACTTTTTTCACATAAACGAATATGAATTTAATAACCGAATAAAGAATGTTTAAAAAATAAATACTTATTTTTATTATATTAAAATAAAAATATTCCATCAAAAGATAACTTCTACCGCAAAAAGTTTTGAGTGTTAATGTAAAACCAAGTTGGTTAATTTATTCAGTACCTACATGTGAAAGCATCTATCCAATTCATAAATTGTTACCTAATTAGTTAAATAACGACATTTCATATATTTACATATCTTTATTTCTTTAATAAATAGAATGACTTTGCCATTGCACACGGCAATATAATCTACAAATAATAAAATTTGTGTGTGTATGCATTTTGACCTGCTAGTTATGTTCAATTAGGACTATTTAAAATAGTAGATTACACGTGTTATATATATTAAACTATAACTAATCTATATATATATATATATATATATATATATATATATATATATATATATATATATATATGTATGTATATATATATAATTTTTTTATTTGCATTAGTTAAAATCTACCTTACTCCAAACGAGGTCGATACGTCACACCATAAATCTTGTTTTTATTAAATTACTTTCATTACTTATGACACTTAAAATTATTCTTTCCCTATGCATATAATGTCAAGATTTTTTAAATTGGGCTTAATTATGCATACGAAATTACTTTTACTTTTAACTTCTTGTAAAATTATTTTTATATTCATTGCAGTCAGTGGCCAATAGAAACAAAAATGTTCTCTCTCTTAAAATGTTATGATTATAAAACACTCTCAAAGGTTCTAACAAGTAAAAGCTTTATCAGCATCTTAACAAAAGAAAAAAAAATGCGTCATATCACTTTGTTTCAAACCTTTTGACATTCACCAGATGTGTCACTTATAAAAAAATGTGTACGAATAGTAATCTGGTTTCTAGCATAGAAGATACTTTGTTGTTGACTGAGCATTATACGTAAAAAAATATAAATTACAAATTTAAAAAACCCTCTACGCAAATTAATCTTACGCACTTAATCGAGTAATCATACGCCAATATGCCTTACATCATTTTGGAAAAGAGCTGATACTCTTACAGTGCTGGACCGATATTAACCAAACATAGCTAAGAACCACCGCAAGGAAACTGGCTTTCAAATAAAAAAAAAACCGCATCGAAATCGGTCCATCCGTTTGAGAGCTACGATGCCACAGACAGACACAGACACACACACAGACAGACATCGACGTCAAACTTATAACACCCCTCTTTTTGCGTCAGGAGTTAAAAATACAAATTTCTATATGCTTTTCCATGCTAGTTGTAATCGTAACCTTGTTTCCAGTAATTTATGGAAATGTAACAAAATCGTCATAGGTACATAATTAGTACAAAAATCGTGTATTTTCTATACTTCATCTTATTTCTTCTTAAATAGTAATACAATAATTCAGTACTATAAAATTCATCTGATGATAGATCTGTAATTAATATATTTTCAGATAGCTGAAGAACTATAGCCGTTATTTTTATATCTCTCTGTCTTGGTCTTGAACTACTAAATGTACTAAGAGATAAATATTGTAATAAAGTAGAGGATTTGTTAAGTATACCTATAAGATAAAAAAATGTTTTTTTTTAAACAAATAAAAACAGATTTTCAGACACTAAAAGCGAAAAACAACTGAACTGGGGTTTCATTAATTACTATAGGTATATACATAGATACCTAATCAGATACTTTCGAAGTCGATGCCGGCCAGTAGGTTCTTCACCATCATAGCTCGATGATACCTAATTATTCTATTACCATCAAAATACAAACACATGCAAAGTTTTAAAGCAATGTGATAATTAGAAGTAGGTAAAAAAGACTAATTAGACTGTTTACATAATTTTCATAGTTTTCTCTGATATTCTCAAAATCAGTATATTAAACGAGAAAGATTTTTTTTGGGGATCACCTCGGGATATACCCTAATAGAATACAATTTAAAAGTGACGAGAAATTGGTGAATATACATCAAAAATACATACAGACGAACATACAACATAGAAAAAAGAGCCAACATCCTATGTTCTAGTTGTTATAATTTCAACATAATTTAAATGGGTTAATTTGGTTCAATTTGAATGGGTTTCATAGATTGGGGTAATTAAAATACATGTTTAGGTATTTAAGAATTCCTTTAATAATATTTATAAATATTGTATAATTTTAAATATTGTAGTATTAGGTACTGTAACTGTGAAAGTTCGTCAGAGGGGCTCTTTACCAGCCATGGACTAAATGACCAGTACCATGCGCCCAGGGAGCGGCATGGAGGAGGGGAGCGGCGCCGATGGTGATAGCTGGGCTGCTGCGCACATCAACGCGGGACTGGTGGGAAACTGCGGCGGGAGCGATGGCGTGAGTGAGCACGGGAGCGGCCACGGCGTGAGAAACCACGGGGGTAGCGACAGCGTGAGACACAATGGCGGGGCTGGACACTACATCCACACGGGATTGGTGAGAGACGGCAGAGGGGGCGACGACGAGGGGTGCGCTGTATGCCAAGTAGTCGAGGGAGCGTTTCTTGAGGAGGTGTCCATGTCCGGCGAGTCCGTGAGCAGAGTAGCTCAACAGAGGAGTGGCGTGACCGCGGGCGGCAAGGCCGTGGGCGGCGAGGCCATGGGCACTGAGGGCGGGCGTAGCAGTTAGCACGGGGGCGGTGTGAGCCACGACGGCGGGGCTAGTTTGCACATCCACACGGGACTGGTGAGAAACCGCGCTCGGAGCGATGGCGTGAGTGAGCACAGGTGTGACCACGGCGTGAGAGACCACGGGGGCAGCGACAGCGTGGGATACGATCGCGGGGTTGGAAACTACATCCACGCGGGATTGGTGAGAGACGGCAGAGGGGGCGACGACGAGGGGTGCGCTGTATGCCAAGTGGCCGAGGGAGCGTTTCTTGAGGAGGTGTCCGTATCCGGTGAGTCCGTGAGCAGAGTAGCTTAACAGAGGAGCGGCGAGTCCGTGGGCAGCGAGGCCGTGGGCACTGAGGACGGGCGTAGCAGTCAGCACGGGGGCGGTGTGAGCCACGACGGCAGCGTGGCTGACGGGCTCCAGAGCCTTAGCCTGCAGGTGGATGGCGCGGGCGTGGATGACTGCAGCGGTGTCGAGGGGACGACCGTGGGGATCCAGCACGAGAGCAGCGTGATGCGCTGGCTGCGCCCAGGGGATGATTGAGCCGCAAGCCACGGAGGCGAGAGCGAAAAACACCACCAGCGATTGCATTGTGAACGTGGTCTGTGTTTGTCTGACGAACTAAGTAGATCACTTCAAACCGTGTACGGCCGACTGATAAAATCGACCCACATTCGACTATATTTATACTAAGCGGAAATAAATAAAAAGTAAAGCAATTTTAGTGCGTAAATGGTAAGGCTAGAACAATGTCAGGTGTCAATAAAATGTGTGGCCTTTGTGCTCACAAAAATAAAAATATAAATGTAAATAAAATTCTAAACCGGTTAGTAAAGAGTAATTGTCAAAGTTTTTTGTGCATCTTATTTTAATGGTATTTTTATGCACCTTCACCGATTTCTCTAATTAGGCTAGTTTAAGTTGCATGTTATTAAAATAGAAGTGGTCCGATGTAGTCTCATATGTACAATTTCTTTGACATAGGTCAAACATATCTTTTTTGAGCAAATTAAAAATTGAAAAATAATAGTATGATCTGAACATTGTGATATATAATACTTTCTTAGATTTACGCGAATATTTGACATTTTAAATAAAACTATCTTTTCTGATAGAGACTGCCTCTCCCGTGACCATGGATGCTGTAAAGCATTCGAAACGTCGGGAAACAAAAATGCAAATAAATCCGCGACAAAATCCGAAAAGATAGTTTTATTTAAATTGTGATATATCTTTACATATTATACTTATACAGGTTTGCTTTACCTTGCATCGGCCGGCATTGACTCCAAATATACCTTTTATTATATATATGTAGGTACCAAAACTTATCTTAATATGCATATATGTATACTAGCATTTCCCGTGGCTTCGCCCGCGTTCAGATGACTAAAAATCAAATTCTTAGGTTTTACATATTAGTATACTCTAACGTTGCAGTTTTCGTATTTTTTCTCAAAGGTGAGATATTTTGCCGCGGTAAAAAGTATTCTATATGATGACTGAGATAACCAGCTATCATCATACCAAATTTTATCAAAATCCCTCTAGTAGTTTTTCTGTGATGCGGTAACAGACAGACAGACAAAAATTCTAAAAACCATAGATTCGGCCTCTGTATCGATAATAATGACTATTTCAATAAGATTTTCCAAAAAAATATTTAATGTACAGATTCGACTTAGTTAGGATTTTATTGCAATATATGTATAGATAGGAACATATATTGCAAAAGTGATTTCTTACTTTTAGTATTTTTTAGTCATTTTATTTTTTATATTTCATCATCATAGTAAATACATTACTTTTAATACATTTATTATGTGAGAATAAATTACGTAACAAAAAATGTTAGAACAAATATTGATTTTAAAATAATGCATCGTTTTATTATGAACATTAAATTAGATTAAATTAGTATGCAGGAAGTACTTGATGTATCTGTATGGAATTTAGTATCAATTATTTTACTTATATGAGCTTAATTTTGACTAGGTACCTTATATAGAAAACCAAAATGAAGGGCCAAGAGAAGTCTACGAGTATCCATTACATCAAATAACTAGTATTGCCTGCGGCTCCGCCCGCGTCCAGATGAAAAACCAAATTCTTAGGTTTTACATATTAGAATACTCTTACATTGCAGTTTTTGTATTTTTTCTAAGAAATGAGATATTTTCCAGCGGTAAAAAGTATCCTATATGTTGACCCGGATAACCAGCTATCATCATACCAAATTTCATCAAAATTTATGTAGTGGTTTTTTCGTGATGCGGTAACAGACAGACAGACAAAAATTCTAAAAACTATAAATTCGGACTCTGTATCAATAATAATGTCTATTTCAATAAGATTTTCCAAAAAATATTTAATGTACATATCTTTACATTATTTGCCATAATTCGTTTAGTGTTGATTTTTTCTATAATTATTCTATTATAAATATAATGTTTTGTAAATTTTTTTAGTAAATTTAAACAACCTTTTAGAGAATAATAGTTATTTTTGTTCACAGTGTTTGATATTTAAAATACATTTGAATAAAATTTTAGTCCTTACTACTGGGTATTTTGCCCTATCTACAGAACTTGGCACCCATTTAGATCTCAATTCTTTTGTCGGTGAAGTTGACAACCACGCATATTCTTAATATTGAAAGGGAACCACCCTTTTTCACATTTATGTTTTTGATAGAATATCATAACTTTTTGTAAAGGAACTATTATTATTTATAATTCTAAAGTGATTGGATAAGGCGGAGGAAAATGTTATTTAATCAACATGGAACCTTTTCTCCTGAGAAAGAAAAAGTTTTTGCTATTGCATATTTCAAAAGACACTAGGTATTAAGCAATTGCTATTATATTTTGGAAGGCGCAAGGTATTAATAATTTTTTTTTTAATTTCAAAAATTTACTTCTTTCGGATTTTTTCCGTTGTATGTACACAATTACCCATCTGAACACGAAATTTCAACTTTCTAGGTCATCTGGAAGTGGGTTAGGTTTTACTACTATATGCCAGTCTCAGTCAGTGATAAAAAATGCCGATTTTTAGACTTTAATATTTCAATAACTGTTTGAGCTGTATTTATGACATTGGGGATTCTAGTTAATCTAAGGAGATTTAATAAACGAACCAAATTTCATGAATTTATGTTAAATTTATTTTGTTTAAAGTTATGTTGGCTGGACACGCTACCGCGTGTCTTGATACAAATATTTGAATTTCTCGGCTTTTCTTTACTATATCTAATAGGTATACATGTATTATAAACCTCTTGAATCACTCTGTCTATTGCTGAAAATCCGTTACAATGTATAGATAAGATGACTTTCTGCTTTGGAAGTAGTACGTTGTGTTTTTTTAAGAACTAAGCAACTGTTTGCGTATTTTAAAAAATGTACTAGGTACCTCTGTACTATGAGTCAGAATATATTACGTAAAAAAAAACTACACAGAATAGGCAATAAAAATTTTACAAAAACACGGTAGTAGGTACATATGCGGAAACTACTGTGCGGATGTTAAACGACTTTTTTAATTTATACATACGTAAAGCTCGTATGTATCTATTCCAGAGAGACAAAATTTACTCTTATGCCAATTGTGTTATGCCAATGTTGAGTCAATATACTTTCCATTGCGAGATTAAAAAAAACGGACTGCTAAATACAGGGAAGATACTTCATAGATTTCCTTAGTTGATCTAGATTTGATTGGCTAGATTATATTTATTTATTATGTATTTTCGTCTAGATAATTTTTGTTGCAGCTGTGTATTAGGAAGTAGGTGGTGTATACTTCCTAGATTTGGAGAACTTGTAAAGCGGTCGGATCAGCGCTGTGACCTCCCTCCAGTTATGTGGACGTGTGGGAGTGACGTGAGGAAATAGAGAGTGCTTTTGTTTGCTATACTACTTGTATTTGCATAATATCTTCCATATACCTGGCTAGTCTCAGTAAAATTGGCACTGGGGTCTGAAAAGTATTGTAATAGATGAAGGATGATTTAAGATTAAGAATATCCTTTGTATGAGAAAACTATAGAATAAATATTGATGTACAATAGATGTCCGCTTGTAACTCATTTCATAATAATAACTTCATTTTTTTTATAAACAACCGAAAAATCAGTCGTTGCCTAATTGACAATTTAATTTTTTAATATTATGATTATTTTCACTTTCATTAATTCATATAATAGGTAGTGGTAGTCCAGTAATGCGATCGCTTGGGAAACCGAGTGAAGCGGGTTCAAATCCCGGGTCTCGTACCTCTAATATTGCGATATATCATGTGCGAGAAAATTCTAATATTATTACTATTTGTCTTACGGTGAAGGAAAACTACATTTCTGAGAGAACCTAGTAAGTTTTGAAAGACATGTGAAGTCCGCCAACCCGCACTTGGCCAACGTGGTGCACCATGGCCTGATCCCCCTCGCATTAAAAGGAGGTCCGTATCCAGCAGTGAGATATTAAAAAGGGCTAAATACAAATAATTAACTAAGCCATTTTCGAAAATTGCTGAATATGTAATTATATAAATGCTGAAAAGCTGAATCTTTGTCGCGAATACCGCAGGGTAATCGCGAAATAAATGTTTAATCATTCAAATTATTATTTGTCATTAACGTGGCGGTAGTACGAAAAGAGTTCGATAGGATAGATTGATTTGACGCAGACGCGGTCGAGGCGCGAGGGAGGCAGATCAGGCGTAACACTGTGTGCTAATAATAATAATAAATACTCTTTATTGTACACCCACAAGAGAAAAAAGAAAAAAAATTACAAGAAACATATAAAAAGAGTTATGTACAAGAGGCGGCCTTATCGCTAAAACAGCGATCTCTTCCAGGCAACCTTAAGGTGTTGGAATTGACAAACTGTAAGAGGGAAGGGGTGTGAACTATATAGTAGTAATAATAATAATAAAAAAAAACATAAAAATAATAATACAATTATAACAATAATTCATTTTTAATACTATGAATAAACTTACATATCAAAAATACATACATAATGTACATAATAATAATATTATATTTACATAAATATGATAAGATTAATACAAGACAAAATACTTATAATAATAATATTTAATATATTAAGGGTACATAAATATATAAATAATATATCATATTAAATAGATAATAATAGAACTTATAAGTAAAAATGACATTAAAAAAAAAAAACAAAATTGGTAAAAAGAATATGGTTTAAAAAGTGTGAAAATGCAGTTTTAAACGTTTTTTAAAAGTATTATACGTTTTGGCGCCTCTAACGCTCAAAGGGAGAGAATTCCAAAGACGTGAGGCTGTTACACAGATGAAGTGGAATGAAGAGGTATTTTTAAAATTAAATTTTGACAGGAGCGCAATTTTTTCGAATGAAAAAGCCCCAGAAATTCAAATTTATCTTTTAAATAGGGAGGAGAAGATGGATCAAACAGAACACGGTAAAGAAGATGAAGGACATGAGTATTCCTGTGAAGGCGAATAGGGAGCCACTTGAGCTTTCTGCGAAATTCAGAAATGTGGTCATATTTTCGTAACCCAAATATGAACCGTATACATAAATTTTGAAGCCGCTCAAGCTTATTTAATTGCTCCTCTCTTAGATCAAGATAACAAGAGTCAGCATAATCATGGAGAGGTAAATAGTAGGAGAGATTGTGCCAGCGCAATTTTAGTAGGAATGGGGAGAAAGTTGCGTAACCGACGAAGTGATGCTATGGATGCAAACATTTTCCTGCTCGTCTCACCTAACTGCGGAGCCCAGGACATATTCCGGTCCATAATCACGCCTAGGTTCTTGACAGTGTCACTATAAGGTATAATTATGCCATTTAATAGAATAGATGGTAATGATAACGACGTTCGTGTGTTCTCAAGTTAGTGGATTTATTTTAATTTCAAATTTCAATAATACAAAGATCATAAAAATCGGGCTAGCAGTTCTCGAGTTATAAGTGTTATATGTATACATTCCATATTTTCTCCAGATATATATATAAATTTATTGGATTTGTTTTCACTCGGAATAGCAGAATAACTAACTATTAAAACATCGGAAAAATTCACGAAAAAAAATTAAAAAAACAAAATCTATTCCAAACTAAGCGTCAAAACGTACCTAGGTCCTAGGGACGAACCTGAGCGAAGCGAGGGTGAGTCGCTAGTAATAATTAAAAAAGTGTGTGTGTAGGTTATGTACGCACGTAAGAATTTATACTACTTTGATTTTTTAAAGCATTTAAAATAAAAGCTTGTTTCTTTTGGCAAAATTTGTAAGCAACCTAATTTCTGCGCCTTTCTCATATTTTGAACTTTCCATGAATATCAGATTTATTTGTAAAATAAGCCAAGTACATAAATAATCATAAGTCACCCTTCAAAACTATTCTTATGCATGTTGTTTAGAGATCGCATCATAATAATAATATAAAAGTTGTACAAAATAATTTATTTTCTAATTCTAATAAATACACCCCTTAATTTATTTCATGCCGGTAAATTTAAATCTCCACTACTTTATAGCTTTTAGATCATCGTTTGTTAGACTATTTTAACAAAAATATGTTTTTTATTTAGTATTTAAATTGAAAATATTCAGAAAGCGCATTGTTCATAAGTTGTAAATTAAATTTAATATACCTATGAGGGACACATGTACGTGGGCGAACTAACTTGCAAAAGGTAGTAAATATTTGAAAATTAAAAACAATAAAGTAGAAGCTAATAAAAAGATATTACAAATACTTAGTTTAAGGTGTGTAAGGCAAAAAAATTATATTTATATGATCTGTGGTTCCATCATATTGGGATTGTTAAAAAATAAGTAAAAACTTTTTCGTACTTAATATTTCGTTTATTTATAATTTTTTTTTATTATTTTAAATATTGCAATTAACATATTAAGAATTCATCAGAGCGGCTCTTCACCAGCCATGGACTAAATGACCAGCACCATGCGCCCAGGGAGCGGCATGGAGGAGGGGAGCGGCGGCGATGGTAATAGCTGGGTTGCTGCGCACATCAACGCGGGACTGGTGGGAAACTGCAGCGGGAGCGATGGCGTGAGTGAGCACGGGAGCGGCCACGGCGTGAGAGACCACGGGGGCAGCGATAGCGTGGTGAGACACGATGGCGGGGCTGGACACTACATCCACACGGGATTGGTGAGAGACGGCAGAGGGGGCGACGACGAGGGGTGCGCTGTATGCCAAGTGGCCGAGGGAGCGTTTCTTGAGGAGGTGTCCATGTCCGGCGAGTCCGTGAGCAGAGTAGCCCAGCAGAGGAGCGGCGTGACCGTGGGCGGCGAGGCCATGGGCAGCGAGACCGTGGGCGGCGAGGCCGTGGGCACTGAAGACGGGCGCAGCGGCCAGCACGGGGGCGGTGTGAGCCACGGCGGCGGGGCTAGAGTGCACATCCACACGGGATTGGTGAGACACGGCGGCGGGAGCGGCGACCACAGCGTGAGCGATAGGCGCTGCCACTACGGCGGAGTGGACGAGGGGAGCAATGGCAGCGTGGCTGACGGGCTCCAGAGCCTTAGCCTGCAGGTGGATGGCGCGGGCGTGGAGGACTGCAGCGGTGTCGAGGGGACGACCGTGGGGGTCCAGCACTAGAGCAGCGTGATGCGCTGGCTGCGCCCAGGGGATGATTGAGCCGCAAGCCACGGAGGCGAGAGCGAAGAACACCACCAGCGATTGCATTGTGAACGTGGTCTGTGTTTGTCTGACGAACTAGATCACTTCAAACCGTGTACGGCCGACTGATAAATTCGACCCACATTCGACTATATTTATACTAAGCGGAAATAAATAAAAAGTGAAGTAATTTTAGTGCGTAACTGGCCGGTAAGGCTAGAACAATGTCATGTTTCAATAAATTGTGTGACCTTGAAGTTTACAAATTTATTGAAAAATATTGCCTCTTAAGTTTAGGCATCCCTATAATTTATAAAATATGTTCTCTAAGCGACTTAAACTAATTGAAAGTATGTATAGATAGTATTGTAAAATTTGTCCCGTATAACCACAGATCATATAATACTATAGGTATAACTGTGATTACACATTTTAATTTGACTATAATTAATTGTAATTAAAAAAAATACGTGTTGTATGTTATTTAAAATAAAAACTTTTTACAAATCTTTGTTGATGTATTGTATAATTTTTCCGGGATAAAAAGTAGCCTACGTGTTATTCCAGGCTATAATCTATCTCTGTCCCAAATTTCATCCAAATCCGTTCAGCCGTTTTGTACCTAATATATGTATATGCATATTGGAATGATCAGTTACAATTGTAATTATATGTAAATAACTAATAACTATTAGATACATAAGTTTCATAAAGCTATTCGGAAGATAATAATAATAATCGTCCGATAATGCGCTATAATAAAATTAATCTAAGCTACTATATAAACTTTTTGAAGCAAATTCAGTAATAGTAAGTAAATATAAGGTTTAATAAATTTAAAAAACCGATAAAAATCAGACGAATAATTAAGCTTTGAGTTACCCAATTATTGGACAAATAGATACTTTGATTATGTATTCAAACACACTATAAAATTCTATTTTGATAATGTCGTATACAGATTATTAGTGTGTCTTCAGTTCAAATCTCCTTAGTTCGGAGTGACTAAAATATGATAGTAGTTCCACTTTTTTTAATTACTTTAGCAGACAGGAGACTGAATGCGTAGACCATTGTAGTTTAAGACTTGTTGATTTAGTTTCATCTTTATAATGGACGCTCCGAATTAAGTTCCTTCACCTTTCTAGTTAACGTACAAATAGTATTTTAGTATTTCGTATTTATTTATCGTAGATGGTCCAATTTTTATTATGTCTTTATATTATACTAGCTACTCACCCTCACTTTGCTCGGGCTCGTCCCTAGCTTGCTTCCCAACACAAATTTTCATCTCCATTTTCACCCCCTTAAGGGTGATTTCCGGGATATAAAGTATCCTATGTTCTTCCCAGGATTTTAAACTATCCCCCCCAACGTGCGTTCACCTTGTCGTGGTGGGGGGGCTCAGTAGTGCCCGGCAACCCAACCGGGCGCAAAGCCAAGAAACGCACAGGGAGGTGGCCCACTTCGGTGGGCGGTGGGAGGCGGCCCTCTTCGGAGAGCGGTGTAACATGCGGGTTGCTCCTGGTACTTCTCTGATAGCAAAGTGGACCTTGGAGCAACCCAGTGGTTGTTGTGGTCTGCTTCGGCAAACCTGCCGTCGGGGCGTCGTAGTTGAATGCGTAAGCGATCCTGCGACGCCCCATTAAGACGGGGGAAGGCTTTGTTGGGTTTTAGTGGGTAGTACTGGCTTTGTTGGTGAGTCCCACACCTCGTGTGTAAATGCATTTCCCAACGTTAAAAAAAAAGAAGGATTTTAGATTATATTGTTACCAAATTCCATTTAAATCGGTTTAGTAGATCCTGAGATTACCCCCTACAACGTCACAAACTCACAAACTTTACCTGTTTATAATATAAGTATAGATTTTCTAGGTCCCTTTAAGCAAAGAAAGTAATTTTTAACTATTGATTTTTATACTTGTCCCACTTGCATACTAAGTAAAAACCACGAACACACTGTAGACGTAACTTGTGATGAATTATATCCTTATTTATATCTTTGATTGTCTTTTATTATGTTTGAAGTAAGGTCTTCCTTCACCTATGTCGGACAATAAGTATTTTCTATTAAATATATTATGTAATAAAACAAAATGCTCTTTATAAAAATAATGTATAATATAATTCTGGTTTTCACGTGTGCTTATGGCATTTTGTTGCAGTACCATTAACTTTTATGTAGAGTCTTTTTATAGCACGTTCTTGCCTAGCCTCAATTTTGAAACTTGAAAGCCTGACGATTTTTCAAAACAACCTTTTTTCTGCGTGTTTCTCATATTTTGAACGTTCAATGAACATCAGATTTACTTGTGAAATAAACCAAGAATCCAAATAATCATTATATCACCCTTCACAATTCTTCTTACGTAAATATTTCGTTTAGTGATTGCATCATAATAATATTATCAAAATTGTAAGCCGACTTAAATTTTTTTACTATGAAGTAAAAAATAACTGAACAGGGGTTTTCATTTACTATAGATACCTTATCAGACATTTTCGAAGTCGGTGCCAGCCGATGCAAAGCAAAGCAAATATAGATATGTACTCGTATATCACTAATTGAATACTAATATTATAATTGACTTGTTTAGATGTTTGGATTTCTGGATGGATGTTTGTTAGTCCAGAATGGCTGAACGGATCTGTATGAAATTTAGCACAGAGATAGATTATTATAGTCTGTAATAGCACATAGGCTACTTTTTATCCCGGAAAAATGTACGGTTCCCGTGGGATAGATTTGTTTTCGTTTTTCCAGAGGCGAAGCCGAGCGAAAGGAGGGTGGGTGGGCGATAAGTATAATATTTTACTATAACTAGCGACTCATTCTAGCTTCGTTCGGGTTTGTCCCTAGGGACGTTTTATCGGTTAGTATGGAATACTCGTAGATCTATACATCTATACATATAATAAAATTGTAACCAAGCCGAATCTGTACATTAAATATTTTTTGGAAAATCTTATTGAAATAGACATTATTATCGATATAAAGGCCGAATAGCTTTTAGAATTTTTGTCTGTCTGTCTGTCTGTCTGTCTATCTGTTACCGCATCACAGAAAAACCACTGGAGTGATTTGGTTGAAATTTAGTATAATGGTAGCCTGGTAAATTGGTTATCCAGGTCAACATATAGGATACTTTTTACTGCAGGAAAATATCTCATCTCTGAGAAATCTGTACTAAACGTTAAAACGTGACTAAGAACGAAGCCGAGCGAAGCGAGAGTGTGTTGCTAGTAGACTATATAGTAGTACATTTATATACATAGGTAATAGGTATGATGAGTTTTATATCTTTTACTTGAGAAATGATTGATTCCCCATAAAAACTTTCATTCCCCTTTTTTCACCCCCTTAAGGAATGGTTTCCAGAATAAAAACTATGCTTTGTCCTGCCCGGGGTCTCAAACTAAATCTAATTTTAAATAAAACTATCTTTTCGTATTTTTTTCGTGAATTTATTTTGATTTTCGGTTCCCGACGTTTCGATTGCTCTACAGCAATCATGGTCACGGGTCACGGGAGAGACTGAGGCGTTAGATGTCTCTAAGGTATTATATAGTTGTTACAGACAGCCTACCCACAATTAACAAAATGAATTCAAAAAATTGAAAAATGGCACCAAAGTATCTTACAATATTTTATCTTTAAACATTTTTATAATTTTAATTAGTTTTATAATTGAATATGGATTTATTTAAGTTGAACTGTTATTGTTATAATTATTACAATTTCAAAAATATTAATTAGTAATCTATTTTAAGTGTTGCCATTATTATATTTATAACCATAAAGAAAAATTAACCCCGTGACCTTTTTCTTTATGGTTATAAATATAATAATGGCAATACTAAATATATAAATAATAAATATATAAAAATAATACATAAAAATCCGAAAAGATAGTTTTATTTAAAATGTCAAGTATTCGCGTAAATCTAAGAAAGTATTAAATCTAATTTCATGTAAATGGGTTTAGCGGATTTTAAGATTATCCATTACAAACAAATATACAATTATTTTCTCTTTATAAAATTAAAATAGATAAAAATAGCTATTGCGAGTGTACCTTAGCAGATAGACATATGCTATTGCAGACTTTTCTGTAGGCCTTTTAAAGACTTTCAATTTTCTAGTACATTGTTTTTATGTATCTCTTAAGGTTTAGCCAGCGTTAGCCAAATTTTCTAAGGATGACTTGATGCCGCGCGAGGCGACTCGGCGCACTGACCCCTCACGGCACACCTTTATGGCTAAGAGGATCATGCTGCCCTTTCATTTGGATATATATCCACTAAGTGAGTTAACTTATAGTTTAACAAAATAATGATGAGTAAATATTTAGTTTATTTAAAAATTTTGCATTGTTTTAATGCAATTTAAGCTGGTATAAATTATTTTGAATAATACTATTTATTTTCGTTTTTCATTTCGAGTGTAAATACGATTTGCATTCACAAATAGTTTTAGAATTCTTTTAAATTACCTTAAATCAAATTTATAAGGTCTCTTTTTAATTTAAAAACTTGTTCAATGGGACTATTAGAAGGTTTTACAAAATTTTTGTAAGAAAAATCATACATGAATATTTTTATTTATTTCAGCAATTCTCTTCGACGATGTAATTCTTCTAGGTGCTGAAAATACACAACTTTGTATTTCTATCCGATTCAAACTCCGTATTTTCTCTACCATTTTGTGTCATAAATAGAACAGTAAGTTTTTGATTCTTAAATACAAATTAATTAAGCGAAATTATTGCTACATGATTGTTTATATATTTCTTGTGTTTCCAGAGTCAAGTTTACTTGCACTAAATACTTCGACAACTGCTCAGACGAAATTTGGGTTATCATGCGTGGGAGATAGCACGTTCTTGTTCTCAGCTGCCCTACTTTCCACATTCACTGGAACTACTCCTCCATGAAGTGTTGTAAGAAGAAGCCACGAGTCAGGAACCTATACCAGGCGCACAGTTGCCCAGTGTTATAGAGTTTGTCCATGAATTCGCAGTGTACTTGCAAGTAAGACATTTTCGAATTCTGACGCTGTTCAAAAG